GAGCCAGGGGCAGGTGCCCAACTGCTGAGCCACCCAGGTGTCCCCGTGAGGGCACTTTTATAGGAAGCGAGGTACACATGAGTAAAGAGTCCTGAATAGTCCCAGGCAATCAATTAGCACAGAACCTTCCAGAGACGTTTAAGAGGTCATTACAAAAGTAAACCCTATACTCACCATTAGAGGCAAATATCTGCTGGAGCAGCGCTCAAGATCTCCAGCGACAGAGGCAACAAAGCATCAGGAAATATCAGGGACTGACCTCAAGTTCCTCCAAGAGAATAACTCCCTCTCCCTGAGGGAAAGACCTACAGTGAGGACTTTGCCAAAGGAAAAAGAAATGGTTTCGGACATTTTTTCCTACATTGTACTTTCCAGGAATTATGTAACTATTCCCCCTGCAATAAACAAATCCAGCCCTGGGACAGGCTGGGTTTCCAAGAGGAACCAGTACTGAAAGCACAACCTGGATGTGGGCAGGGTCTGTCCACAGGGATCTGATGGGTAGGTTGGGCCCCAGTTGTCCTCAGGACCATGAGCCCTCTAAGCCTCAGAACGGGATCCTGCTTCATTCTTTCTAACAAAACTGTAATGCTCTTCCCATGGTAAGCCCCTGCACACAGTCCTGAGAATGGAAAGCATGTTGGGGTCACCTCCTGTTCTCTTCCTCTTGCTCGTGTATGTCAGGGAGCCGTGCTGCAAGGAGCATGAGAAATGCAGCCTGACTGACTGAGGGGAGTGGGAAATTGCCATCAGGCTGGAAGCACAGGGGCAGGGCAGTTAAGCTGGGCTCTTGGAGGTAGAAGCAGAAGCGCTGTGCCACACTGAGGCCAACACAGAGCCTCTCCACTACCTAACTCCAGGAAGAGGCAGCTGAGATGAAGCCATCAAGGCCAAGAAGGGTCACAACTCCAGAAACTCAGGGCTGGCACAGGCTATATGTCCACTGCAAGTGCAGACCCATCCTGTGGCCTGACGAGAGCCACTGGGTAATGCATGAGGGGCCTCTGGCTGGTGGCCCAAGGAGGTGACTCATATACTTGGTCTGATTACAAGGGACAGGGGTCAGAAAGGGGAGACAGTATTGGTCCAGTTTGCCCTCAAAAGCCCAAAACGGCACTGCCTTGAGGTCCAAGAACAGAGAGTGTCACAAGAAAGAGTCAAGACAATTCATCCGCCTTCATTTAGTGTCTGGTGGAGGCTACCCTCAAGTCATAAATGGCAGGGGACACACAGGTAGCAACCGCCAGGGAGGAATAGGAAAATAATGACCTGGACAGTGGAGATGGGGCATCAGGAGAGGGTGGTGTTGAGAGCTTAGGGCTTACGGCCAGACAATGTGGGCCAAGTCCTGGCTCTGCCACTCTCAAGTTATGTGACCCTAGGCAACCTCTCAGCGCCTGCTTATTCACTGGACCATTATGACCATTCATTGAGATAATGCATTAAAATGCCTAGCAGAGTGCCAGGCACAGAAAGTAGACAGTAAGCAGCAGCTCTCATGATCATGCTTAAGAAAAGAGAAGAGTCCATCCTTAACAGTCCAGAAGCACCTCTGCTAGGAGGACCACCAGGCTTGCACTAGGCAACCCCCTCATCCTAATAGTATCAATGTCATCCCTCAACTGATCAGCCTCAGGCAAAGTGGGAATGGGTTTGTGAGCTATGCGCATCAACATGCCCTCCCTCTGCAGATCTGAGGTGGGGATTTGCAAATTAAGTAGAAAGACACTGCAGTTTACAGTAAGTCATAAGAAAAGACAAGGAAAGAATAAAAAAGCATAAAAAAGAACGCACAGAATCGTGTTTGATTCAATAATATGGCATAAGAATAAATGAATATGTAAAAGTATTCCCCTACTAAAAGGCAAGGTCTCTCATATTGGGTCCAACTAAGTGCAGTTTTCAAAGATCACACTTAAGGCAATCTAAAATATCCAATCCCAAAATATAGTCAAAGATTTATAAAATGAATACAAATGAGAAATTAAAGAGATTTCACAGAATTATTATCGAAGAAGTAAAAGCAATTAACAAACAGAATCAAGATCATTTTGTATGGGACACTTTACCATAAATTTCCAATTGTTATAAACTACTATATACTAAATAATGTAAGGCAGAACTATTGGAAATGCAAGGGGAGTCCAACATTTATTTCTGTACTTAATAGACTAAGTTATCACAAGTTAATCATTTAAATACTCTAATGAAGTTATAAGAGTAATTTGCAAGATTACTCTTCTTTTTCAGCACTCATGAAGCACTTACAAAAAAATGATCTTATATTAAACTACAAATGTCAAACATTTGTTAAAACCTAGAAAGCATTTATGCCACATATCCCAAAAACCATGTAAAAAAAATTAGAAGACTGTTTTTAAAACCCAAAGCTGCTCATAGCAGTGTGATGTATGATGGCCAAAAAGTGAAACAATTCAAATGTCTATCAAATAAATAAATAAAGCATGGTGTCCACACAATGAAATGTTATCTGACAATGTGAAGGAATGAAGTAGGGATTATGTTCCAACACTTGGAAACATGATACTAAAGGGGAAAAAGCCAGTCATAAAAGACCATATACTGTGCCATTAAATTTCCATGAAATGTCCAGAATAAGCAAATCTATATATAGAGAAAGTAGACTGGCAGTTGCTGAGGGCTGGGAGTGAGAGCAGAAGAGATCTGGCCAGAAGGAAAAGGGAGTAACCGCTAACGGGCACAGGGTTTGTCTTTGGGATGATGAAAATGTTGCAAAATTGTGTTGATGGCTGCACAATTCTTTGAAAACTACTGAACTGGACACTCCAAATGGATGGGACATAAATTCTAATCTCCATAAAGCCACTTGAAAACAAGAAGAAAATTCGAGCCCTTAAAAAATGAAAAAAAAAACCCAAAACACTTCTTTATTACTTGGATAAAGGAAAAACTGAAACTATAATCACAGAACATTTAAAGAATATCACTGAGAAAACTGTATCACAAAACATGCAGCAGCTATCAGGGCAAAATGTATGCCCTTAACTGTTTTCCAAATTAAAGAGGAGAAAGTAATATTTATACAAATGAGCCAATAATACAACCAAAGTAGTTAATAGAAACAACAAAACAACATAAGGAAAACAGGCGAGATGAACTATAAAAGACAAAAGCAGAAATTCCATATTTCATCAAATTTAGGACATCATTCTAAAACACACTGTCATTTTATGTATAACTAAGAAAAACCACTGCCAATTAAACAACATCACAATGCTTTGTTTGCCATCAATTGAAAGATGCATCCCAACTTCAGAGGTGCTAAAATGTGGAGACAAAAAGCACATTTTAGGCTGACAGAATATAATAAACTAGAAAGCAGAAGGACAACGTGACTGATAAATACAAAGTCTAATTCTCTGGAAAGACCAACAGACGTACCTCTGACAAAGTAAACGAAAAAAAGAAAGAAAACAAAAACGCAAACTATCAGCAATGCAAAACAAATACAACCATCCACATATAAGAGGCTAAAATTTATAGGAGAATATTATATAAAACTATGGTCAAAGAAAACTAAATGAGAAAAAGAATGCTATGCAAATACTTTTTAAAACTTGGGTCAAGTGGACAATTTTCTACTAAAATTAAATTTCCCAAAATGACTTTAAAAAACTTGAAAACAGGGGTGCCTGGGTAGCTCGGTTAAGCTTCTGACTCTTGATTTCAACTCAGGTCATGATCTCAGGGTTGTGGGATTGAGCCCCACATTGGGTTACATGCTGGACATGGAACCTCCTTAAGATTCTCTTCCTCCTACTTCCCCTCCCCCACTCGTACTTGCGCTCTCCCTCAAAAAAAAAAAAAAAGGAATTAAAAAACAATATTCATGGAAGGCATTTGTAAGTTATCAAAAACATATCTCCAAGAAATTAACACTAGATCTCTGAAAATATTAGGGAGCCACTTTTATAAAACTTTAATTTCCCTCGTTATTAGTACTATTTTTAGGTCATAAAAAGTTGTAAATACTTTTTCATAAAATTAGCATAACCATGAAACCCAAACTACAAGAAGTATTTTTCACCTATCACATTGGCAAAGAAAAAAATGAGAGCGAGAGAAAGGAAAAGAAAAAAAACCCACACAAATGAAAATACACAATGTTTGTTTACGTCGAGAAAATGTAAGTTGCTACAGCCTCTATGGAGAGTGTTTTGAAAACAAAAATAAAAAAGCAAAATTCTACATACATTTTGACCCAATAATCACACTTCTAAGAATTTATTGTAAGAAAATAATCATAACTACATGCAAGAGGTTTTTGCATAAGGATGTTCCCTGCAACATTTTAATAACAAAAATGTAGAAATAACCTGTCAATATTAGCAAATTCAAGTTTGGCAAATCCATGCATATGGGGTTGAGACATAGTATAGAAATGTAGGTAATAACATTAAATATTCACTATAAACATGGATTTTTATATGTACCCAAAAAATTAAAGGACATGATGCAAAACAGTGATTAGATCTATGTGGGATAATAAATGATATGAATTTTCTTCTCCTAATTCTTGGCAATGAACATGTATTATTTACTAATCAGAAAAATCAATAATTATTATAATTTTGTTATTACAAATTTTATGGAATATGCTAATAACTCCCAGAGAACCAGAACAGGAGTTTTGGCCTGGGTTCCCCGGGTTCAAGAGGATATGGATGAACCATTAAGTCTTGTGACCCTTCTAGATTGTAGGCTGGGGAGGTGTGTGATTCACAGGTTACTTATATAAGAAGCAGAGTATCCCTTGTTTCAAGGCCCTCAGTGAGGTTCCCATTCTTGGGAAGTATCAAAGACCTGTTCCAATCCTAGGAGCTAACCAATTACCTCTTTATCTTTATCCATGGTCCATACTGCTTCTAGAAAATTTCTCAACTAGAAACTTTGTGAAAACATCTTATTTGGCACTGAGAAGGTTTCTTAATAAATAATAAGCCAATTCAGTCTCCTACCTAGATAGGGAATACTGGGAACCATCTTCAGGCTTCGAATATATTCCCGGGTCCGCTTGTAATTATCTTCTTTAGACATCAGGTAGTCCAATTTCTCAAAGGTGGTCTTGTCTTTCCGATTCAAAAGCTGAAGTGAGAAGAAAATACAGAGTATGAGAGAGAAGTGAAATAAACCAGAAGCTTTAAAAAAAAAGGGGGGGGGAGGTGGTAACTGTGCACAAAGACTGAGTAAAACAACGTCTGCTGTGTGCTGAGTCCTGGGCACAACTGATGATTATAAGAGGCTGTTGTACGCAAAAATGGAAAGTTTGATGGACTTGATTTTGTCATTTTTCACAGAATCTCACACTTGGAAGACATCCTCCATAGTTACCTAGTCACAATTCTAAATGATACCAGAATACCCTGCACCAGTACCTGCTTCCGTGGGTGCATAGAAACAACAGCAAATGGCTTACAGGGTGAAGCCCATTATAGACGAGAGGTCCCCCAGAGTTACTGCATTGCTACATCAGGTCTCTCCCTGGTCCATAGCTTCTGACTCTTTCTTCAGTATCGTCACCACTGCCAAAGGCCCAGGAAATTAGACATGGCCCACTCGTGTATGTAGTGCCCAGAGCCAAGCCACCTCTCCAATCTACACTATCCCAGATTCCCTGTAGTTTATAGCTGTGTCATACTTATACCATAATTTTAAAAATTATTTTTTTTTAGTTTTTTTTTATTTATGATAGTCACAGAGAGAGAGAGAGAGAGGCAGAGACACAGGCAGAGGAAGAAGCAGGCTCCATGCACCGGGAGCCCGATGTGGGACTCGATCCCAGGTCTCCAGGATCGCGCCCTGGGCCAAAGGCAGGCGCCAAACCGCTGCGCCACCCAGGGATCCCCTTATACTATAATTAAAAGAAGCCAAACTTCTCTTTCATATGCAGTCATCTAAGAGGTGACTTAGTTAAGCAAATTCAAGATGAACAGGTACCCACAGCCACAGGTACATAAAGATCCTTTTGGATGGAGGTCTCTAGTATGTAAAGCTTGGTCTATAGTATATAAAGCTGGGTCATCAGTGAAAAGATGGTCACTGTACTTAAGGAGCCTTCTTAGTAGGAAGGAATAGAAATCTGAATTCCTGCTTTTCTAGACTTGATGCTAAGGACTCATGTTGTGGTTGTCCTGCAAGTCCCAGGTTAAGACCCAGTGCAGGAAATGGCAATAAGGCTCCTTAAATAAAATGGCTTTGAGGATAGGAGTCTAGGCTGGGAGACCAGGCTTCACAAGAGGATGTGGTCACTCAGAAGGGTCACTCAGAGGGTCACTCAGAGAGGGCTGGCTTTGGCATGGCATGTGGCTGACGTTGGGAGCTTCCCCAAGTTTAGCTTCCAGAACCTAGTGCCTCTGGGATTTGAGATGAATGGCTAATCCCAGCAGGATATATGGGGCATCCCTGGACAAGCTTGGTTTGGAGGCTCTGATTCAGGTCTATGCAAAGATGTGAGCCTGCAGCCCTGCCACATCCACCAGACTAAGTAGGCCAGTGTTCAAATGCCCTGTCATGCAACATGGAAAAGTGGAACAGTCACTGTCCAGCACCAGGGGATGCAGGACTTTTGTACTCAAGTAACCCCTTTGGGTTTAGTACAAATACAGTGCAATTCCTAGGACCTCGGTTTGCAAATCCCTGACTCAGGCCATGTCTGGTACATCAGAGAGCCCAAACTGCTCTGAGCAGGCCCTGCCCATTACCTTTATCCTTGGCCTTCAGGGTCACAGAGGATGCAGCCAAACCACAGCCCAGCTAAGCAGTGACAGTTTAAGGACTTCAGGGAAGAGAGGCAAAGAATAAGCTGGGAAAAAAGGTTCCAGTGCTGAAGAAGTTAGAGAATAAATAGCAAGCTTTTCTTCCCCCACTGAGAAATTCAGGACACATGAAAGAAGAGATGCTACACAGATGCTAGGAACAATGGTTGCTCAGCTGGCTTGTGAACTGAGGCTGCTCTTCAATATCATGTAAGCAAATGCATTTGCTTTTTGTACACCACAACATCTAACTCATCTGACCTTTACAAAGCCCGGTGACAAACACGGGGCCAAACCAGCAGGTTCAACATCACAGAGATGACATGACTTGTCTGAGAATCCTTGGGAATGTGACTCAATAGAGGAGAGGGGTGTATATTATAGCAACGTGGCAAGCAACGTGTTCTGGGCAAGAACCCAGACAAATAAATAAATTATGGGCAAGGGAAGAGTCAAGGAAAGCTCTTCATAGAGAGGAGTACTTGAAATGAACACTTGAGGATGAGAAATTCACTAGAGAACAACATACACCCAGATCAGAACCGGATACTCTAGTTGTGAACTGCTCCATTGTAAAGCTGAGCAGAGGGATCCCTGGGTGGCGCAGCGATTTAGCGCCTGCCTTTGGCCCAGGGCGCGATCCTGGAGACCCGGGATCGAATCCCACGTCGGGCTCCTGGTGCATGGAGCCTGCTTCTCCCTCTGCCTGTGTCTCTGCCTCTCTCTCTCTCTGTGTGTGTGACTATCATAAATAAATTTAAAAAAATTAAAAAAAAAAAAAAAAAGCTGAGCAGATTCCTCACTCTGTTGCCCAGGAAGTCATTACTAAATGCAACCTAGAACCCCTCTGAATTCATCCAGCAGTCAAACAAACCCCTGTTATCTGCATCCCCTGCAGTTGAGCCATGCTGCCATCCAATGCTTACACCACTGGTTCTCTGGACCCCATTCAGGGACTGCCCATGTCTCCCGCCAAGTCTAGCCCAGCTGTCTAGCCTGTCAAATGCTTCTATGCAAGGTACCACAGAGGTAATCAGCCTATCATCTGTGTCCTGACAGATGGATATGACCGGGCCACTATAAGGTTAAAGACCTGGGGGATGTTCCTGAAAAATCACACTGCACAGTGACTTCAAACCAACAACTGGGGTTCTTTAGCAGAGTGAGACAACGAAAGGCAGCCACATTTGTGTGCTCCCTAAATTTAAAACCAGACTCCTCCAGGTCACACCTCCCTCTGTTAACCTTGCCTCTATACACATACTTCCTACCAACCCCCTCACGACGCCTCCCCCACCCCACCCCACCCCCACCAACTACACATATTCACACACACATCCAGAAGGGCTGGATCTGGTTAACTTCACTCATCTGCTCCATTCTGTGCCCACAGATAAAATTCAGGATGGCATCAGATTTCTAAGTAGTAACGCACAGGATGCCAGAAGACTCAGAACATCTATTTCCGATGCATGTATTTGAAAACTACTTGAGAACCTCTTCTAGCAAAATAAAGGAATAAACCAAGTAAAGGAAGGTATGGGATATAGGAAACAGTGGAGCCAATCCGGGAGTAGTAAATGGAGGCTCTGAGATAAAAGATAAACAACAGGCCTTCAGAATGACTGGTTCACAGAGTATCAGCCCTGGAAGAGACATCTCCAGAGAAAGAGATGGCTCACATTGTTTAGGGTAGAAATAGATCTATTTATTATACATAATAAGAAAATTAAAATAAAATAATTTTAAGATTTTTATATATTATCTAAAAATCTTGTAATATACTATAAAATGTTTATTATACACAATAGATAAAATAATCTAAAAATTATATACTTACATATTTTACATAATTTTATACAATTATATATATATATATATATAGCTATATAACTATATATAACTATATATATATATAGTTGAGCCTTAAATAATATAGGGATTAGGGAGCTGATCATCCACACAGTAAAAAAATCCAAATGTAACTTTTGACTTCCCCAAAGCTTAACTACCTATTGTAGTTAACAATATCCTATTGTTGACCAGCAGCCTTACCAAAACATTAATAGTCAATTAAAAAATATTTTGTATATGTATCATACATATACAACTCACGACCCTGAGATGGACCTTAGCACAACTAAAGTCAGATGCTTAACCGACTGAGCCACCCAGGTGCCCCAGTAACATGAGTGTTTCTGAAGAAAAAGAGAAGGTATTCAGGGAAACTACACCAACAATCATCATATAAAGAAGTCAACAACCATTATCTAGAGTGAATGGATCAAGAAATTGTAGCAAAAGCACACTGGTGGAAATGTGACAGAAACTACCAGAAGAAACCACTAAATAACTGAAGTGGTTGCCTCTGGGGAATGAATGGGGTATAGAAGGACAGATCAATGAGTCTTAGTTGTTTCACTAAGCCTTGTCATACTTAGTGATTTTTAAAATTAATGTGCATGTATTATGCTGAAAAAATTTTTTTAAGACTTATTTATAAGTAACAGCATTTATTCATGCATGTTTTAAACTTTTATTACAACTAGAGCCACAAACTGAAAACCTCATGTTAATCGAGGATCCTTGAGATTTCAGACTTTAAGGGAAGCCTCAGAAAGGAGCCATCAAAACTATATAGAAGAACATAAATTACTTCCCTGCCCGAGACAAGCAAATACTGAAAGCGTTCATGCTCAGGAAAAGAGGTAAGAAAATAAGATCAAGGAAGAATTCACTAAATACAACAGGCAACTTCACTTCTAGCAAAGCTGAGAAGCCCTGAGGCACCCTGAGATTTCTTCCACAATATTTATAATGACTAGGATTAATTGTGCAATTACATGTGTCTCACTCAGCAAACAGCAAGTCCCATGAAGACAGCAGCGATGCTGGCTGTGTTTGTACCACCATTCCCCAAACCTGGTATGGTTCTCAACACAAACAGCACATTGCCTAAGTATTTGTTGAATAAAAGAATGGAGAAACTAAGAATAACTTGAAAATTCAAATCCTTTTAAAATTCTGAAAACTCCAGTAACTGTTCAGTAAAAGAAAAAAATAAAAGCCAGGATTATGTACTATTTACAAACCGCAAACAAGAAGAAACCATTTGTTAAGCTATGTGATGAGGCCAAAACTATACTGAGAGGAAAATGCATGGTTTTAAACTATTTTCAAATTAAACGAGTGAGAATATAAATGCACTAAACATTCAACCCCAGAAGCTAGGGAAATGGGGGAGAAGAGTAAGGGAAATCAATTAGTAGATAAAAATAGAAATCAAGGGGCTTCTGGGTGGCTCAGCTGGTTAAGCATCTGCCTTGGGCT